ATAGATATAAAACTTGTAGAATTGGAAATATGCCAAAAAGGGAGTGACGCACAACCCGGGTCATGAAACTCGGACAAGCATATATCATGCTTGAAAACGACACAAAAGTGCTGAATGCTGGATGCTGAATCAGCACAGACATTGTGCGATAAACTTGTACTTCGACTACTCTGGCTATTGTCAACTATTTCAAGCCAGCTATTTCACAAGCTTCTTTGTAAATATTCAATGCGATTTCAGAGTCATTGCGTTCTTCAGCGATAACGCTCTGAAGAGAGGATGTGAGGTTCTCTACTGACGGCACACTGACTCCTGACCGCCTCAGAGTAAAACAAGGGAAGTTTTGGGGTCTCGTTTTTGCACAGTTTTTGTTTATAATTCATAAATAAAACATGTACACATGAAATAAATCAAATAATATAACCAAAACTCTTCAAGACCTTACCGACGCAAGACAAGTCGACGTGACCTCGCCATTTAGCGGTGATTCACGAATACAACAGTTCAGAAACGGCGGGAAGAATACTTTTTTCAGGCTGCATTTAGGATTGGTCAGTTATACGGAAATAGCTTAAAGCGTTTTAGCGTGGACCTTTGCTAATCTGAATCAATCTGAACCACGCGACGCGAACAAAGTTGGTTCAACTTCAAACGTTATATCTTAAATCTTGCGAATTTACGTTACCTAATGTCATTGAGAAATACCAGAGAATACGGGGCACCTCGACCACATATTTGGGATATCAGCTGTAAAATATTTTGTAAGGTAGCAAACAATAGACTTAAGTATTAAGCATCTTAAAAAGTAACATTGCCATAGTTATAGTAAATTAATCTTTTTTTCTGACGTTTGTTGGAGATCCAGCAATAATATTAATAACTAGGTGTTGCTAAATATGAAATTCATATACAGTATTTTTAGTGTGATAACCATAGTTTGTTCTCAGCAAGGCATCCGTCCCAAAACCTGCAGGTGTTACATACGGCATTTTCATAAATCGTACTGAATTAGGAATTGTAATATTACGCTTATTTTAACCTCTGCCATTTTCGTACCGCGTTATTTTTCTTAAAACCAGCCGTTCGTTTTTCTGTTTCAAAATGCTTTTTTCTCTGCTTGAATAAAGTAATATATGTCAATGTCAGAGAAAGAAAAGATAGAGATTTTATTATATTTGTCAAACCAAGGAAACACATGTATAAATACATAAATAATAATAAACAGAAACATTCTTTCGGTTTTCACAGGTGGCGGCTGTCCAGTCAGTTGCCAACCAGTACGATTACATATGTAATAAAATAATTAGACAGGTTTGGTGTAAATTTCATCAATAGCTTTCATGTTTATTAACTTTATTCATTATGTGCAAGTATTTCCAAGATTTATTTTATTTTGGGGTGATTGAGAATACCGTATGAAATAAGGTATGTCATTCGTTCAACCAAGGAAATTATGCACGTATTGTATTTGTACTTCAGAAAACCATACGAAATATAGGAATGTCACGCCAAATCTATATTCTGGGTAACATTATTAGAATGAGGATTCTGGTCTATTGAGGCAATGCAGAATCTATTAATTATCGTTGTTAAATTTTACTGCTGGTAAAAATGTGATTTTTCAAAAATTTTGTTTATGGCAATATGTCAAATATATATATCAATTGTTTGATGAGGTATTGTTATTTTATTATTATGGGCGATTGCCTTGGCCAACAGTGGCTATGACTCATTATTATTGAAAATATAAAATATGATATATAAAACGCAAGTCATCATGTATGTACATGAATAAAGCAAGCTTTTCACAGTGAAAACATTATTTTTTTATTAGTTTCTTCAGCCAACGTCTGACGTTTCCGTAAGCAAATATACACGTTCGTTCGGACAAGCACTTCGCCAATCATGATCGGAAGATTCCTGTTTGACGGGATAAATACAAATATATATATTCTCGCATTCAATATGAGTTAGCACTTTATTAACCTGGACATTGGTTGTTAGCTATGTATCCACGTGGGTCAAATTTTACAAACATAATCCTTCAATTGAGCATTCGCAAAGGTGGTCAACAGACCCCGAAAGTCTTTCACTTTTGATACATTATAACAACCCATTGTCTAAGACGGAAAGTATAATTTCGTTAGTAATTCAATATGCTGATTCAAATAAAAAAAATTCACGAGTGAAAACAAGTGAGAACGTGTTTATGAATAACACGCAATTGTACTCTAACATTTTCAAATGAGAAAAATGGGTATAACGATAGCTTGAGGTCTAACGCCATATGTCGCCCTCCAAAGTGCAGTGTGATGTTAGAATAAGTGCAATTTACCTTTGAGGGAAATATACAAATAATATATGTTCATTAGGGATAGAAAATGCTACTGTATGCCTGAGGTGGCTCTCACAATACTGTGTGGTAGACCTCACGCTATAGTAATGCCAAAAAAGAAAACGATTTGTCTTCATACATATTGGTTTAAACAATATTTTCTTGAAAAGGTATCATTATTGGAATGCTTATAAATTAAATCGGTATATATGTACTTTATTAATTTTTACTTTTTTGTTAAGAAACCCGTTACAATGTTAATTATGAATATATTTTTGTCATGCATTTGTACATAAACAACTTTTTATATTCCTAATTTACATCTCGACTCAACAAAAAGCTCAGAAACATATAATCCTTCGGCAAGCTGATGGAAGGTTGGGTAACAATATTTTTAGTTCATTTAATACATCCGTGAGGGAAAAACCATTATATATATAGTATTGATAAATTACCTTTGCAATTTTAGGATTCCAACACTTTATGAACACCCTATATATACATCTGAATGCATACAGTGAATATATCGCTGCGACAAATGTTGAAGATTTATTGACAAGAGATCTTTCTTGATTAAGGAGAAATCTGAGAATTTCGGTACACAGAATTGGAATTGAGACTAATTTGAAAATAGAAAAAAAGAGAAGAGCAAGGTTTCAAAGAGTATTTCCGGTAATTCCCCCGAACGAACCACAAAAGTAAAGAGTATTAAACGAAGCGACAGGTGGCAGCAGCGAGTTGATGAGAATACAGTCTCCTCTCACAGAATGACGTAATGGTGATTTCTCTCCGATTTTTTAATTTCAATTCAGCTTGCCGAAAGATTATATGTTTTTGAGCTTTTTGTTGAGTCGAGATGTGAATTAGGAATATAAAAAGTTGTTTATGTACAAATGCATGACAAAAATAGATTCATAATTAACATTGTAACAGGTTTCTTAACAAAAAAGTAAAAATTAATAAAGTATATATATACCGATTTAATTTATAAGCATTCCAACAATGATACATTTTCAAGAAAATATTGTTTAAACCAAATCGTTTTCTTTTTTGGCATTACTATAGCGTGAGGTCTACCACGCAGTATTGTGAGAGCCACCTCAGGCATACAGTGGCATTTCTATCCCTAATGAACATATATTATTTGTATATTTCCCTCAAAGGTGAATTGCACTTATTTTAACATCACACTGCACTTTGGAAGGCGACATATGGCCTCAAGCAATAGTAATACCCATTTTTCTCATTTGAAAATGTTAGAGTACAATTGCGTGTTATTCATAAACACGTTCTCACTTGTTTTCACTCGTGAATTTTTTTTATTTGAATCAGCATATTGAATTACTAACGAAATTATACTTTCCGTCTTAGACAATGGGTTGTTATAATGTATCAAAAGTGAAAGACTTCCGGGGTCTGTTGACCACCTTTGCGAATGCTCAATTGAAGGATTATGTTTGTAAAATTTGACCCACGTGGATACATAGCTAACAACCAATATCCAGGTAAATAAAGTGCTGACTCATATTGAATGCGAGAATATATATATTTGTATTTATCCCGTCAAACAGAAATCTTCCGATCATGATTCGCGAAGTGCTTGTCCGAACGAACGTGTATATTTGCTTACGGAAACGAAAGGCGTTGGCTGAACAAACTAATAAAAAAATAAAGTTTTCACTGTGAAAATCTTCCTTTTTTCATGTACATACATGATGACTTGCGTTTTATATATCATATTGTCAGTTCATACTAATATTTAGTGTCCGACCAAGAAGACGGAAGACAAAATTTGTCTCATGAACTTAAACATCTTGAAGTAGAAAAAGCATCTGTAGAAGATGCAATGGGTCTGTAACATTCTTTTTTTTATTCATGCAAAAGCTATGATAAGTTTGATAATAAATTTGATGATAAGTCACATTTTGTTGGTTACTACTTACAAAAAAGAAAAAGTACGAAAAAATTGCCGTGAGGTGAAATGAAACCAACCATTTTTTAAGCACGCCAACTTTAAAAATGAAAAATTATAAGAGAGTGTTGTTTTATGTTAATACAATTGGATTAAGATTGGATTGAATTAATTAATTGGAGCAGTCGTGTTTCCGTAAATCTACTGTAGAAGCCTGTGAATGTTTAATTTTTAATTATATTGAATTTTAATAAAATTTGTATAAATGAATCGTCTCAGTCAATCTCAAATTGTTTACTTTATTCTCAAATAATATTTTATCATGTATTAGTAACTACAGATAATGAAGATACGACTGTGATTTCTAAATCAGTCATACATCAAGTAGAAAAAGAAGGAAAAGTAATTAAAATTGGCAAAAACATTCTTACTTTCCAACCTGGTACATTCGCTAAAACTACTTCAGTATTGGTAAAATCAGAGTTTGACAGCTCGAAATAGCCGAAAGGATATTTTGGCATCACACCGATACTGCACGTTAAAGCAGATGACGATCTCCTGGTTCCAGCCACCTTTCATATCAAATCCTGGTGCATGAATGGTGAATCAGTGGAATCCAAAAGCATTACAGTCGAGGTTCTTCATCTCCCCAAGAATGAGTTGCAGTGGAAAGTAATATCTACCCTCCCATTCGCAGAGGAAACCAAATTTGAGTTTAATTGCGACGGCCCAGTCATCGTAGGCCTGCCGTATAAGAGTCATGGTGAAGAAATCTATAGGTTAGAGGGATTCGTCTTCTCAAATCCTGCAAGAAACACCTTTGCTTTAGCTTTCTTTCTCGATGAAGAAATTATTCAACGAAAGGTCGTTGAAGATTTCTAACAACTAGGATACACGGCTGAAATCAGCATCAACACTCAATTTATCAAATCAAAAGACAAAATCAAGGCAGAGATAGCATGTGGAAATCAAGAGTTCGAGTTCAGTGGCAATGGGACTTGTGCTTTTGAAATCGACGTTGATTTTCTCCAATTCAAGAAATGGAAAAGATTTTTCTTCTCTCTCGAATATGGAAATCACGATTTTAAGGCAATTCAGATAAAGTGCAATCTTCACAAGAACGGCACTCTTCTAGATGGGAACCAATCTTTCAACTATCCCTGGATTTGGGAATCGGCTCATTCGCAACATAAGAGTCGCAAAAGATCAACAAATGATCATAATCGAACGGTCAAATACTTTTGTCTAAAAAAATATTGCTTGAAATCTGTGGTTATAAATATAATGCAACCTGCTGATGATTCTTTCGAAAATTTTAACATTGTCAAATATTAAATTATTTCCCAGTGGAGCGGTTGCCACTAAATCAGTTCAATTCTTCAAATGTAGATGAAATTTCTTACATTAATATCAGAGCTTTTATTCTTATTTACAGCTTCGGGGCCAACAGACAAGCGACCATCTCCAGGAGGCGGAAGTAGTTTTGCACATTCAGAAAATCCTAAAGAAAGAGGTAAATATCAATAGATATTAAAACGAGCAAGTATATGCACAAACACAACACTGAATAACGGAGCAATATTAGTAAATTTATACGAAATACAAAGTAATATTCAACTCCCATCTCAAATAATAATTTTTCACTATAGAAAACGCTGGTATCATTGTCTGAAGCAAACTAAAAAAATTGAATAAATGTGTTTTAGGATTTTAAAATTTTATATTCAATAACCCTGAGATTGAAATTTCTGTAGCATTACAAAGTGGAATAAGAACCTTTTTTTCAAATATTTGCAACAGACTCTATTTTGTTTATTTAGCTATTCGGAAACAACATAAAAGCAATAACAGCAACGCAGAACAGCCTCAAAACGCCCTTCTTAGCGTCTTAGAAGGCGCAAGTTCTGGAAGTGCCACTATTCAAGGATGTCACATATTTCAAGGTTGCACGTTTAAAGGTGATTCTCTTTATATTTGTAGGCGAAAAATTAGAAAAAATTCGAAAACATTAAAATAATTGAGTTTGGCGCATATCAAAATATTACTATATATGATACATAAGAAATATTCATTTTATTTTGTAATATTGTTCTTAATGTACTTGTGATACCAGACCATTCGGTGATATCCAAACAAATGTGTAGAACGTAATGAGCATATTAGAAAAAAATTCCCCACTCAGTATTAGTTGTGAATGTCACGAAACTTAGATGTATTAAATTTACTTTAATTCGAACAAAATTTATGTAGGAAGCAAACGAGTCTACTGACAGCTTTTTGATTCAAACTGAATCTTGAGCATAATGTACCCACGACAGCACTGGTTGTCGATGAATATACAAATAATTTTCAATGTTTTACTTTTTACTAATATCAATCTTTAATCAATCTGTATGTTTTGAGACAAATTCAAAACATCGTCATCACCGGAAGAAGACCTTGATTAAAATGAAACTAAACTCTTCTTTGTCGACACTTTCAAACAAAAAATTTTTATGCTCATTCTTTATATAACATGCATTTTAAAAACACTCAATTAACCCATTCTTGTAATGTAAGTGATGATAATTTGTTTTTGTTTTGTCAAAGGCTATTAAGAAACTTGTCCCATTCCTTATTTGTGTATCACTTTAAATCATTAAATATAAGATTGTGAATTTCTTTGCAATTGATTTCTTTACGCTTTCTTCATTTCATTTTTTTTTATTCTTCGAATTTCAAAAATAAAAGTGTTAATAATTATATAGTATTGACGATGGATATATTTTGACTGGTAAAAGATTTTGGTTACAAATTTATCAATCGGTCTTCAAATTTAAATAATGGCAAATTAAACCCGCCGTTCCCAAAATAAAAGTGGGATATCCAGTTGATATTTTCAATAATTAATGAAAATGTCCGCAGAAGTTTTTTAATCAGGAATGCCAAAATTATAATCTAAATAACATTGATATGTTAAAATAAATTTGCATATTTGTCCTGTAAATAAGTAAGTATCAGCTAGCTTTCGATTCTGATCATTGTCATATAATGACACGAGTTGCTCAAAATTTGACTAGTTTATTCTTTATTATCGCTTAGAAGTTTATATTAGGACCGATCGGTGGGTGCTGTAATTATGCAGCATACTATTTCAAACAGAATATGATGTCAATTAGTGAGAACTCATTATCACTCTAATGTGAGCAGCAATCTTCCGTTCATTTCTCTACGGTTTTTGGTCAGTTACGGGTGGCTGAATTTTATTAATTAATAGCGTTGCTGACGAAGCATATGAATAGACTGGAATCAGCTGTAGGCGTCATTATTACTATGAATTTTGTTTCAACTTGAGTCTGTTGGTTACCTAACTTTAACTTGAGTTGTATGGAAGGTAATTCGATTTGCAAGTTTGAGAAATATGACCTATTCAGTTGATGGTTGTGGTTTTTCACCATTTTATTATTCACCCTATTCAAGTCTCTGTGCAGCCACTCTTACATGGGATACCCCTATTTCCGTAAATACACGTGTCTTATTCCAGTTTGGCAATGCCTACCCAATTCAATTACATCAAACATATCGTCGTTTTACGCTGTGGGATGTGGTCAAGTAATATTTCGCCAATACTAATTCCAACGACAAACTTGTATTTTAAAAATGCTAAATCATTCTATCATTTGTGACGAATAAAGTACTACAGGAAGTCAATGTGGGTCGCAAAAAATGAAATTTGCAAATTCCGCGACAAGACCCTCAGAGCAAGCAATGATTTTTACATTGTGTACTCTCTTAAGCAAAGAGCAGAAACAGTAACCGAATATCCCCAATGTAAATGATTTTTTTTAGCTTGCTACGAGAAGTGAGATGAGTCAATAGACTCATATTTACAGAAGCCAATAAACAGCATATTTACATGTTGAGCAAAGTTACATTTAGCTAATTGAGCTGACCGCTCATTTAAAGCAATGAAACAGTGACAGAGATATTTATTGCGACCCGCGAAGATAGGAAATTTTTAAATACAGCCTCAAGACACCCTGAGCACTGGTGGAAGGTTGGGTTACATTATTTTTAGTTTATTTAATACATCCGTGAGGGAAAAAAACAATATATGGTATCGATAAATTACCTTTGCAATTTTAAGATTCCAACACTTTATGGACACCCTATATATACATCTGAATGCATACAGTGAATATATCGCTGCGACAAATGTTGAAGATTTATTGACAAGCGGACTTTCTTGATTAAGGAGAAATCTGAGAACTTCTGTACACAGAATGGGAACTGAGATTTTTTTGAAAAATGAAAAAAAGAGAAGAGCAAGGTTTCCAAGAGTATTTCCGGTAATTCCCCCGAACAAACCAAAAAAGTAAAGAGTATTAAACGAAGCGACAGGTGGCAGCAGCGAGTTGATGAGAACACAGTCACCTCTCACAGAATGACGTGATGGTGATTTCGCTCCGATTTTCTGATTTTGATTCAGCTTGCCGAAAGATTATATGTTTCTGAGCCGTTTGGTGAGTCGAGATGTAAAATATAAATATAAATAGTTGTTTATGTACAAATGCATGACAAAAATAGATTCCTAATTAATATTGTAACGGGTTTCTTAACAAAAAAAGTAAAAATAAATAAAGTATATATACCGATTTAATTTATATGCATTCCAATAATGATACTTTTTCAAGAAAACATTGTTTAAACCAATATGTAGAAGAGCATCGTTTCCTTGTTTGGCACTACTATAGCGTGAGGTCTACAACGCTGTATCCGCAGGTCCATCTCGAGTCTACCTTCGCATTTTCTATACCTCAATGAATATCTAATATTTCTACATTCATTCAAAGGTAAATTGTTCTTATCTTAATCTTAGACTGCACCTTGGTAGGCTACATATGGAGTTAGTCCGCAAGCTTTATTAATACCCTTTTTTTCTTAGCTCCACATTTGAGTGCAATTGCGTGGTATTTATAAGCACGTTCTTAGTTTTTTTCACTTGTCTATTTTTGATTCGAATCAGAATTGAAGTACTAATAAAATTATACTTCGGGTCATTGACTATTGGTTGTTGCAATGTATCAAAATTGAAAACGTTTCTCGGTCTGGTGACAACCGTTGCGTCTAAATCAATCCAAAAATAAACTGATTGTCTGATATGAGTAGCCATGACATTAGAGAAACTATGGTTTTTGTTGCACAAAACAATGAATTTAATTGTTGAGTATTTTTTTATTCTATCTCATTATAGTTTAGAGTTTGATTACAAATACAAATGAAACTAATAAAACATGCAGAATTATGCAATTATTTCTGTCATGAGTAGTAATAATCCGGGGGATCAAGTCAAAATATAAAATTTCTCAAAAAACTGCTGCTTGCAACGCGTTGTATTCGAAGACTTGATAGATTTGTAATATTTGAGAAAGAATTTAAACTTCTGGGAATTTGAAATGCCCATATAGGTTTGATTTATGAACAATTTCGGCATAATTTCAGAGTTGATTGACATCAATTCAACCCAAGTAGATGTGCATATAAAATTATAAACTATATTATATTAAATTATAACTAAAGTAATGCAGTAATGCTAGAGAAAGCAGTAATGCTTCTTAAAGCTCGGAAATGTTTATAAAGTTTACTTTGCGTTTTGATTTTACAAATGTCGCGCGTGGTCAAAACTTGAAAAAAACTTGAAGTCATTTATGTATGCTACCTTACAAAATACTTCACGGTCGACGATCTCCAAAATAGCGCACAACGGAGGTCTATTTATCTCAATTTCTCTATAAACAAGTAGTCTGGTTCGTCAAATAAACCCAGGGTTTTGATCAATTGGCGCGTGACAAAAAAGGCATAGGGTAAATCAGCGTAATGTTGGTCTAAAATTAAGTAATCATTGTAAAAGTGCGGGTATATATTTGCAGGTGCTGGAATGACCCCTAAAGAGCAAAGTATGGTAGCAGCTCTAGAAATATATAAATTTCAAAGTTAGTAATTCTTCGTAATCTATATTTTTGAATTAGATTGCTTGGTTTTGTGTAATTTTTGACAATTAGGTTTAGTGACATTTTCAGGATGTTCAAATAGATACAAGTTTTGTTGGTTCAGTTAAAAGAATGGTCAACATAAATCAAGTGACTGGTCGCAATTCACAATGGTAAAAATGTTAATAGCCTGTGCTGTGTGTAATCTGATGTGAATTCAAAAAATTATCACTTTTCAAGTTATAACTAGTGATGCCACTTTTGGATTTACGAATCGGATCGATTCGAATAGCATCATTTCCAAATCGATTTGAATCAGATTTACGCGATTCGGAAAAAGAGATTGATTTACAAAACTTCGAACGTTTGTTAAACGTTGTTTTCGGCGGCATCAAATCTGCTGAATGAGTTCATGCGGCATTCCAAATAACATCAAATTACGGGACGGAAATGAAAATGAATATATCGTGATTGACTTTTTTACTGATCTGCCGTCATTACTTTCAAGTTTAGCACAACACACTCTACATATCACTCGAGATTATGTTTGGCGCAATTTCCCCCAGACTGCGAGTTTAGTTTTCCATTGAATGCCCTAAGTTAGTGTTATGCGCAAATTTTAATGGACTGTATAGCTGAAAATCCGTGTCAATTTTTTTTGAAAATTTTCAATAGCACACCTGCGCTGCGACTAAGTTATGGTACGACAGGCATGATTAGATAAAGAATCGGCTACCGACGTCTAGATAATATTTAATTTTGATCAAATTTAATTTAAACTTCGTTCTGATTCAAATATTTCGCGTACATTTGAAGAGAACTATTACTGAATGTGTTCATTGGCCGGCTATGTTAATTGACAATCATGTTCTTCATCCTAAAATATATATTTTTTTTATTTGCGTTTGTCAGGCTTCAACTCGCGTGGCGGTAAACGAAATGAGAGGGACATAATATACGTTTCTTTTTCCAGCTGTTACATTAAAAGGAAATTTCGTATTTTCTTTCAATTTTGTTAGCGCGATACAAGCGGGAATAAAACGTTTCGAAATATTTCTAGCAAATATCATAACACGTGCCAGGTGTCATACCCGACCAATCATGCTGTGAAAATATCGTTTTACTTTAGCTTCCGCGACCATGTTTGATCGAGTTACAGCGTCGACCAATTATCGCTCGTCCGCGCCGCGTCCATTATGCACATTTGGATTTCTGAATCACGAAATTAAACGTAGTCCACGATAATAATAAAGCCCGAGTTTGTCAACAACGCTGTTAGCCACAAAATATTCGTGTCTCTCATATTTATGGCACTTTTTTTTCGCAGTCGTAGTCGGTTGAACGATTATTTTTCTTGAAATTAATTTAATTTACTCGTGGTTGATTTTATCGTCTTCAAGCATATCCTTGTCAGCATTTCTCATTTAAAGTAATTCCGATGCAATTAGAATGTTTTTTGTCGTATTACTCTATGCTAC